TAATCCTTAATTTTGTTATAGTATTATGGCTTTATTGTTCTGCAATTTTCTAACTACATTGATCGAGCTACCAATTACTCTCAGCTATCTCCATTATGGTCAAGTGATTCCTGCATCGTATTCATTTTGTTTATATTGGATCTTTGTGAATTATTATCTTTTCCCATGTAGTGTGTGGGTGATGACAATAGTTTCTATTCAACGATATTTTCTCATTTTTCAACAGCGTTTCATCAGCACAAAAATAAAACATTATACTCCCATATTTTTGCCATTAGTATTACTTTTTCTGTGGTATATTGCTCTTGTAGTATTTTATCCATGTGAACAACAATTTGATTTTACACAAGTATGGTGTGCAGGTGCATGTTATTTATATTATATTACAATTAGCACGATTGATTGGATGATTAGCTTATTTCTACCTATTATAATTACTGTTATTTTCAATATTCTTCTGTTTATTCGAGTGGTGTATCAAAAACATAGAATGCAGCGTGGACGAACTTGGCGTCAAACTCGTAAATTATCTGTTCAACTTTTCTCGATTTCTTTCCTATTTCTCACAATTTATCTACCTTACATTAGCTTTGCATTGATTCGAGTGTGGATCAATCCATATTTTCTCCTTATTGATACGATGCTTTACTTTGCTTATGCAATTTATCTTGTACCAATACTGATACCATTCGTCTGTCTAATTAGTTTACCCGAGATTGTGACAAAAATGAAGAAATTATATTGTTTTAATAATAGAGTTCAACCTTTCAACCTTAACAATTAACGATGATCGTATTATTAAGACGATAAATATCATGGACAAATATATGCATATAGACAAACATTTTTAGATGTCATTTCTTTTGTAGTTTCTGCATTCTCCAAGTAATAAAGTGACGAGATCTAGTCTATACAACTTGAGGATGTGGGTGTGTGTATGTGAGTGAGAATAACCTTCTACTACACCCACTCCACCTTCAAGATAAAATGTTAAAACAAGAAAAATATAATTTTATGAATATATTTAATATGAAAATAATGATTAAAATTTACTTTCAAACTAAAACTTCTTCTGAAAAGTGGGATATCAATCAAAATATCCGCCTGTTTTTTTATTTATGTAAATATTAGAGACACAAATCGCTATACCACGTTGTTTTTTTCTTTTTCAGGTAATATGACGTATTATGACAAACTAGTCATCAAAATAAGATTGACGGTTATATATCGACAACATTAATAAAGTATTCTTTTTTTATATGTACTCGTCCGAAATGTACATTTCAGAAATTAAATATGCGTTTGTAGTAATAAAGGAAGAAACATTATATAAACACTTCGCTTCTTGGATATACATTAATCTTATTTATACAAGGTATGATATTATTCCGGGATATATTTATTTATTTCTAATTGAATTTATCTATTCCAGTTATTAGAGGTATATCTCTTTTTTTCTTTTTGTAAATATATTATTTTTATAATAATCGCCGCATAACGGATAATTGCAGTTTGTATATACATATTTTATACGTACCTCTGCTGATCTATGTAAAATACTCGCAAGCATATTTTTTGATTAATACAGTAGTATTACATTAGTTTTTATTTATTATTAAAATATAGAAGACATTTAATGAATTTCTCTTAAAAATAAAGTTTTTTTTATCTGCATATCAAATAGTATATACAATAAATCACGAATATTTTATTAAAAATTTAATTTCATCGAAACAGTTACTTGAGGAATACGAAAAATCGTTTTTTTTTTTTCTTTCCAATTTGATCGTATAACTGAATTCCTATGAAAAATAGAATTGTTCATCCAACAAAGTCGTACATGTTTATTGAGTATTTTCGTTAGTGTAAAATTTATAGGTCATAATGAACCCATTTAGTTATTATATCTATGAAATTCTTTTTATATAAAACTGTCGAATTTTTAATGCCTATCTGACTTCTAAATTTTTTGTTATTTAATAAAATCATCGTTTACCTTGAAATTATGGATATGTGGAATCAATATTATCACAATGATAAATAATTGAGAATATAGAGATCAATTTGAAATGTACATGAATAAAATCTAATCTTTTTTTTTCAATGTTTAACTTTTTAATTTCTATTCTTTTATTCGATTGATAAAATAGGTCTGATAAGAAATTATACACGTGTAAGTCGAGTATTATTTATGAATGACATAATAAGGATTTATCCTTGTGTTTGATATATCAAAACGTAAAATACACATCACATCTACCTCCGCTTATTTTTTCTTTCTATTCTTCTATCCTATTTGTGTGTTCGAACATGTATAAAACGTTGAATGTACGCGATGTTGGTGATTTTTTTTCTGAGTATACTAATGAAGGACTACGATTGAAAGTTATCTCTGCATGTTATCGCAACAAACATATTGATTTTGGCAATAGAATATGTTTTTTAATCACAAGTCATTTGCATAATAAAAACTTGTGGTATATTTTATTTTCAGCTTCTAATAAAATGTATTTAATAATTAAAATATAAAATTATCTATTATGTCAACATTTAACGAAACGTTTATGCAATAGTGTCTTTCATTCTTTTGTGATGAGTCATTCGTATGAATGTAATCAATGATTATTTCAAGTATAGAAAAAAAACTTGTTAATTTCAATGTCAACTGTTGGTTTCTTGATAAAAGTAACTGATTAATTTAAATATATGAACGATAATACGTTTAATTTTGTTTGAGACAGTTTAGATTAAAAATTCTTCATGCTCTTAACGGACATTTCTCTCTTTATTTTCTATGTATGATTGTATTTTTGTTATTAATTTTATATTTAAATAAGATAAATGTACTAGAACAGTCTATTGTATATGGATAGAAAAACATTATCAACTATCTGTGAACTCTATATTAAAATATATACTAACCTATTATTATAAATGATATTCTTTTATAGAATGACTTTCTTGTATTAATAGCTCAAATAATTCAATCTCTGGAACTTCATAATTGATAAAGGTACAAAAATAGCTAATAATGGATCCAATGAACTCAACAATAAGGCAAACATCTATCCCAATACTAATGCCAACAATGTCTGAATTTACACATCTTTGTTCATACATATATAATAATGAAACACTTATTGCTCCATATGGCGCATGCAAAACCATCCCACCTCGGGAATGGATAAAAGCAAAAACTCTTTCTATATCGTCGATTAATTCATCACCCAGAGTTAGTCGACAAAATATAACCAAACTTTCACCATTCGTTTTTCGTGTCATAAATTCACAACGAAAAACTTCTG